ATGGTGTACATGAATTAGCATATGGAGACTTGGAGATGGAAACTTGCCAACCCCTTCCAAAGAGAGGTCTAGATAACAGGCTACAGGATTGAGCAGCTTTCATGAGAACAGTAAAGAAAACAATTTCCCTCGGTGCTTGCCACAGAAAGAAAGATAAAGGAACTAGAAGAAGGATAAAAGTACACAAAAAACATAAAAGAGAAGTTGATGAGAAATGCCAGTGTGACTGCTGATGGGGTGATGGGTGGAAAGTCAAGCTATAAAAAAATAATAAACTGTGGGAAAAGAATGGAGCAATAGTCATGGAAAGAAAAAGTGAGATCACATAAAAACTTTCAAGGGTAGCCTGGAAAAAGTAAGTCTTTATAAGTTTAACATTAGGACTCTATTCTTACCACCTGTGGGGAGTAATTGGCATTGGCTGACTAGCGGTTTGTTTTGCCTTCTTGGCAGGAGCCGAATTGTTATGTTAATATTCCACTGGCTAAGTGTTAAGTGCTGAGTTTGAATAGAAAGAGTTTTGCAGAAGGGAAAATTCCCAGCCCCAGAATTGTTCTTGGACTATTCAGTTCTTTACACTTCAGACTCCATGCTCAACCTCTAAGAAATAATTAGGATCATGGTGGATATTAGTAGCATTTTGTGAAAACTAAAGGAACGACTAGAAACTGTCCCCCAGGTGGCTTTATGGATGGGCAGAGTGTATGCACAGTAGGATTCAGACGCAGGAGCTCGTGCAGGGCTAAAGAATACTTTTATAACAGTATTACTGTACAACACTGAGCATCCACCTCTTTACATTTACATGTGCCATCTTTTTCCGCGAACATTAGCGTCTCCTTGAAGATCAGTCCACTGTCTTGGCTCTTAGAATATTTTAACTGTCCTTGAACAGAATGAGCCCCAAACCCTAGATACTCAGAATGAAATGGCCCTAATCATCAATGCATTATTAAAATGCATTGTTTTAAATTTTAAAATCATTAAGTCATTCTTTGGATTATTGTTTTTTTTTTTTTCCTTTTTTAAAAAAAGACATCACCTCTACAATCCTGAGACTTCTTGCCTCATTGTTCTGTTGCCTTTTGAGTAGCTGATTTCAGTAACGATGCTGAGTGAAAACTAAAAATCCAGCCAATATACAAATTGTGATTTACTCCTGACCCTGACATTGCAATCTTTATCATTACACAGATTGCTTTTTAACTGCAAGAGAGTGAGCCTGTTGCAAATATACTTTCTCCAGCAACTCATGTCTCTTAGCACCTTCTTAAAATTAAGCCCCCATGGTAACCACAAGGCTTATAAACCTAATAAATAAAGAAAATCCATATAAACAACACTAAACTAAGAAAGACAATTCCTATAAACGATACTAAATTTGTGAGCTAAGGATTCTGGTTGAGCCATTTATTTTCCAGTCATTTATTTTCCAGAACCATTAGAACCTGTCGGGTCACTGAGGTACCATTTGGGTTATCACTTCACGTTCTAGAATATTCTGTAAGCCTCACTTCAGCATTCAGTATAAACCCAAATGGAATCTATTTCAAAGATTCCTAAACTATTCCATCCATAAAATATTAATTTCCACAATAGGGATTAAAGTTTAACAGTGCTAAAACTGGACAACTACACATTTCTTTATTTAAAACTATCCTCATTTCACATTTAGTTATCTCTGCTTTGCAATGTGGTACTTTCAGTGTAGAGCATAAAATTCTAGTTAACTTCAGTCCACATCCCAGTGGCAGTTAGTTAACTTTTGAAGTATCTTCTTTAGAAGTCTGCATTCCTAGAGAGGTTAATTAGCACATTAAATTCCCTAATGAGGCACCAGACTACAGAGATGGTTCCAGGCAAAAACCTTCCAATATCACTATTTATACTTGCCCCAGAGGTTTAATAATTAGCATAAATTGCATTAGAGAAAATTCTAATTGAGGATATGGAGAATGTTCAAAAAATATGGTAGAATATAAAGAGGTGTATGGGGACCTCTCTGTCCTTGCATGCTCTGAGCATGTGCCAGTCAAAGTCTGGCCAATGAGCATTCAAAATAATTCAGCTAGGAAGGGGTGTGGCCCAGGGACTTAAAATTTTACATACTTACTAGAAGACCTTGGAAATGAAGGTCCCAGAGGATACTTTGAAGAATTCAGGAAATCAGGATCTAGAGAAGCTCATGATGTGCACTCAGTGGGTGATGAAAAAGGGAACCTGGAGGCCACTCTCAGATGCTCCACAGATGTCTGCTGTCTGCACAAACCCTGGCCCATGGCTGTAGGGGCCAGTAAGGAATAATGCTTTATCTCTCTCACCTTTAAATGCCACTAAAGTCTTCTCATGGACACAATATGATGCAAAACTATCAACAGGAGAGTTTAGAGAATATAGCTTCATGGCTTCTATTTCTATTCAGAAAAAAGGATTCTGAAAGAGTGGGGGTGACTTTCATTATTTACAAGCAATATCACTCACAGAATACAAGTCTGAAGCCTAGCGTCCTTTTGAAGTGTGTCTTAGGTCTTCAACTACCCTCTGCAATAAAACTTTGTGTGATTATGAAAATGATCTGTATTTGTCCTTGTTCCATATAGTAGCCACATAGTTTTTGAATATTTAAAAGTGGCCAGAGCAACCGAGGAATAGAATTTTTGAATTTTATTTAATTTTAATTAGCTAATTTAAATGCCTGCATGTAGCTATGATACTGCTGACAGTGCTGTGAGAACACAGCATCCTTCCGTGCATCCTTCCCTGACACTTAATGGAAAATATTCTTGCTTAATCTGACAAGAAGTTTCTTTAAGCCTCCCATCTGATTTTCATTTTGTTTATTGTGTGCTGAGAATTTTACGTGAACTGCTTGTTAGCATAACTATCTGATGGAGTTGGAGGTGGTCAGATTCTGTTCAGTTGCTAATAGATACTTGATGCAGGTTTGGAAAATCTCCCTCTCACCACAGTAATCAGTAATGATAGAAAGATAACAGTGATGTTTACCTACAGATTCTAAAAATTTTGACAGTCCATTAGCTTGATCGGTGTACATTATATGCTTTTCTCCTGGAAATCTTTCTCAGAACTTTCGAGTCTATAGTATCTTGCCTGCTAGCAAACAATCACAGATGATGAAACAAATAAAGGCTAAATAAATATTAATATGAAAATTCAGATGAAATAATTGACTGCCTAATTTTTTTAAATGTGGGCATATGTTCATGGCATTTTTAACTCAAACACATAACATACATTTCTTAGGTACAAAATTATCTCTAGTGTATATGATTAAATCTACATTTCATAGTAGTACAGAGACAGTCCAGGATTCTGCAAAGAACTGTGACAGTCAAATGTCCTGCCACTTACAGAACCACTGGCCGATTACCTGTTAAGAACTGTCAAAGAAATGATAACACATTGTTTATTAAGCATTCATGAAATTCAATTTACACAGGGTGTGACACGCTCAGGAACCATCTCTTTACGTGATAATGGATAAAATTAGATTGGAATCATCTTCGGAATGCTACGGATTTTCTCCCTGGAGTAATGGCCAAAGGGAGCTGGCCACAAAGGATTTTGTCTCATCAGAAAATCTTCTTATCACTGCTTTCTGGATTATTCTTCAGCTTCAACACAATTCATCTTCATAGAGTTGCATATAGGATATCCTGGGATTAATAACTTGTAGTTTCCGTGATTCTGGGCCCTCCCTTGAATTGAGACTGCTTCCCATTAGATGGTTTTTATCTTGTAAACCAAGGCACAGGCTGAGGGGAGGAGTGACAGGGTAGGAAAGGAATGTTCCACAAAGGAGTTATCTCTTCTTGGGGATCTATATATCTTAATGGTGGTCAAGGAAGTGGTAGAAAGCAACTTGGCCTTAGATGCCTGGGAAGAAAAAAAAATTACTGGCGCTAAAGCCACTCACTGCTGCTGGGAAGTGGGACAAAAGAGGCCTAGAAGGGACTCAGTGCATAAACTGAAGTTTTCTAGATGCGTTTGGAGCCCTGGCTCCACCTTCCGGTATTAATGGGTTTTCCCATTTGCGTCTGGTAATCCACATTCTCACCCTTCGCACTGTGCTCATCCTCCAATTGCCTCAGCACATTGATGAAAATGCTTGCTGATTGACATAACAAGATCTTACTTTCAGATTAACCCTTGGATTCAAATCTTGAGTGGTTAACTCTCTTTTAGGGTCTTGTGAAACTATATTAGGCTTTGATGCAAAAGGAGACTGGTTAATCCAAAGCTGTCAGCACAGTGTCCTCCACAATAATAGCTTAAGTTGTGTTCAGATAAAGCCATCTCTTCCTTCTGTCTCATGCTTAAATCCTTTGGTTTTGGCTGCAAGGAGGATGTAGATTACAGTGTGTCTTTGTCTTCGAGTATTCCTTAGCTGTGAGGCGATTCTGTGATTCCCAGCCAAGCACAGAACGGGCAATACAGTTCACAGGTTCAATCAGCCTGCTGGAGTGGTTCATGAAAATCTTTTTTGTTCCTTCTATCCCTGGTATGATTTGATAACACTGAAATATTCTATTGTGAATCTTAAGTTGGAAACAAAAATATAATGAATGATGAAAGGTAAGCTATTAGCACTGTCACTTGCTTTTGAATTACTTGTTTACATGGATCAGTGGTAGATTTTGTATGCTTTAACAAGAGTGATTTGAAAGTTTGTGGATTGTGTTTCCTAAACAGGGTTTCCAAAGCTTTTAATGCTTTTAAAAGGCGAAGCTGGAAGCAAACTGAGCTGTCATGTTTTTGTTTTTGTTTTTGTTTTTTAATTTTTTCTCCTCCTTTTAAGCAGACTTGATATTGTTCCTAGAGCCAAAGTGACTTTAGATTGTTTATGGACGTTTAAGCTGGTGCTTTCAAAAAGCAGGCACAGTGGTTTTGGTATACTGTGAAATGCTGGTTCTCTCATCCTCTTTATCCAGGGATGCAGAGACACACTGCTAAAGCCCTCTTGTCTTATCTCTTGGCAGGCTTGTTGATTGGTGCTGGCTGTGCCCTCTACCCGCTGGGCTGGGACAGTGAGGAGGTTCGGCAGACTTGTGGCTACATTTCTGGCCAGTTTGACTTGGGTAAGTTCTTGCCATAGATGGCTCTCCAATCAGAAAAAAATCCATATCTCAGCCAGGCGTGGTGGTGCATGCCTGTAATCCCAACACTCAGGAAGCTGAGGCAGGAGGATTCCTCCAAGTTTGAGGCCAACCTAGGATACATAGAGAGCTCAAGGCTAGCCTGAACTATAAAATGAGACCCTATCTCAAAAAAGAACAATTATGAAAATTCATAAATGATTCTTCCTAGAAGTGGAAACAGGATGATAAAGAAAAACATCTGGAATAATATTTTTTTCAATGAAGAATTATTGATTATCTACTGTTTGCCCAACACTATGATTTGTATTTGTCTATGCAAAGATGAGACATAGACTTTACGTTCATTGATTAACTCATTCAAAATCATATGATTATTAATAATCTCGTGTGCTAAGAAAAGCTCTCTTTGTAGAATTGCAGTCTTCCTGAGAAGAAAAGGAAAACAAAGCAGTGAAGGGAATATCAGTAAGGAGAAAAGAATCCGAAACTATTTCCTTCTAGGGTAAAAAGCTGATTGTGAAAGGAATAAGAATGGAGCCGGGTCTTGACCCAAGTAGTGTGTGTGGACTATTAGGAATACACAGAAGCAGGGAAAAGAGTACAACCAGAGGACCAAGGCCTGGGATGGGAAAACCTTGTCAGGGAACCGCAGAGCCCCAGCAGTGGGAACGCACGGTGCCTCCGCAAAGCCAGGATTGAATAAGTAAGTTTGTGCGTTCCTGAAGAATACCTCATTAATTTGCTTTGCTGTGTACTAATGAGAAAATTGTGGACATTCTCTCCTTGTAGCCCCAGTATACACTGCCTTACAACTTATAAAACATCAGTGACGTGATATGTCACGTGCACCATTGTAATGTGTATAGTTGAGTGGTGTTTCACTTAAGTAATAAACCTACAATTACTTAGCCACATCTTAGCTTGTTCGAGTTGGCCATGTAGTCTCTTCTAGTTTCTACTGTTTTAAGCCTTACTGTAATGAGCTATTTAAATAATGTGGGTATTGTCTCTGCTGAATTATTTTCTTAGGGTGTTTTTGTAGAGTTGGTGTGATGGATCAAAGAATAAGAACCCATGAAACACACTGGTGTGCAGGAAAGGACTACATGATCCTCACCATTGTAGGTTCCAGGGTGAGGCCCCCTGAGTTTGAAAAAGACCCATAGCACCCTGAACGCGCCCAGTCTCATCTGATCTCAGAAGCTAAGCAGGGTCAGGCCTGGTTAGTACTTGGATGGCAAAAAGACAAATTAACAAGAGAAAAGTATACAAATTTATTTAAAACAAGTTTTTCATGACATGAAAACATTTATAAAGAAACAGGTCTGATCAACGGCAAACCTCATGTGTTTGTCCTAAAGATTTAATGAGGAATTTGACAGTCACTGGACCAAGGGTGGGTGATTTAGTGGTCGGGAAACTTAGCAAGACCTATTTCTTTGGATTCTTTTCTGCATCCCTGCATCTTTTGAGTTGAGAATGTTCCTTTCCTCCAAGTATAGGGAGGTCCCCTCCCATGTGAAGATCTCGTGTCCTGCTTTAAGAGAAGTCCACACAGTTCTTCCTAGGAAAAAGTGTAGAAAAGGTCAGAGAGACCTTCCTGCTTCTGCTGTTTTTTTAAATGCCAAGATGCCATATTTGGGGATACCATAAGTGACCCTAAAGCATTAGGACCCTAAAGCTCACTACTGCCAGTGATGGCAAATATATTTTCCCTACTGTATGGTTGGACAAAGTTTCTGACACTTAGTGCACAGCAAGTTACTAACTTAGGTTGTCCTCTTCACATGAATCATTTCACTCCAAGAAGAAAAATTTAGAAGGAATTGGTCCAATGGTAGTGTTACTATATCCAAAATCATTCTTTTTGACTTTTTATGTTAGAATAACTATGGCTTATTTTTCTGTTAAAATGATGAGGAAAATAGAAGTGATAGCATAACAAAGGTCTGTAAATTTGAAAAGGATGCAATTCTTATTTGACTTGGTGGATGACAACCATCCTAGATTCTTCAAAAAGAGTTCTGTCTTTTGATAGGAAAGAAGATTTTTCAAATATCACCTAATTTGCATGGATAAAAAATAGATTTTCCTCTGCCATTTCTCTCCTCTATAAGGACAAGGCTTCTCTAAGTCTGGATTACCTTAGTGGTTTCGAGAAATGTAGAAACAAGATAGAATGCTGGCACAAAGTTGCCTGCAAACATTTTTTTTGGAGTGGAAACATTTACAAGGGAGAGAGAATTTTAACGTGGTACGTGGCATTTTTCTTTCCCTGGTGTTTAAGGCATTCTTGGCTGTTTAACACAGGCCCCAACTTGATTAGAATCCTGTTCTCACTGACTTGTTCTTATTGTGCATGGCTGTATTAATTAGCAGATTATAATGAAACTCAGGGCCTGTGGTTGCAGTCTTCATTTGTGCACCCTGGTATTTTGCATTGTCTCCACACTGTGGATTAAAAATTTGAATGTCAAATTTAAACCTACCTCAAACACTTGCATTTTCACTATCAGTCATAACTTCTTGCATTGTTAAACTCACTAAAGTCATTTTAACAATTCTGGAAACTATAATAGCTTTCATTCCTACCCATGTGTTTTTATATTTCTCTTCTGTTTGATGAGAAGAGGAAGAAATCTGGCATCATCTATAGAGAAAATGAAATGCATTTCTGTTTCTCTCAGTTATTACTTTTGTGTACTCTCTCGTCTTCTCTCACCAAGGAAAACATAACTAGTGCCCAGGTGGTATCAGCAGGCCTGCCCTATCTATCTTCTTGCATTTCTTTCCTTGAAAGTTTGTTTCTGTTTTCCTGAACAGTGGTAAAGGCTGATCATTGGTTGATTAATGAAGTCATAATTGATGGAGCTAAACTGATACGGCACTGAGAATATTGTTGGCAAGCCAGTCTGGCCCTGTGAAGGTGCCACACCATCAATTTCAGGACAAACATTCTTTTTTATGAGGCCCCACATTCAGTAGCCGCATGTGGTTTGCTGCAGCCACACTCTGCCTTGGCCACTTTTGATAATCTGAGTGTTATGGTTTATGTTTGGATGTTACCCCAAGTCTCATGTAGTCATGGAGTTGACTGAATCTAGTGATTGGTTGATTGTCTTGCTCTGGGACTGGTGGTGTGAGTGCTGCACCTGCCCAGGGGTGGGGAGCCAGCATACAATACAAGGGAAGGAAGGATGTATGCTTTTCCTTTTTGCCTTTATGCCCTTTTTGCTCCTGTTGCCTTTAGTGCTTTGCCACCCTAAATAGCTGCACTGGTGCCATGCTACCCTGCCTTGGAGCTAGATGATTATGGACTGAAACCTCCACAAATTATGAGCTAAATAAATCTTTTCTTCCTTAATTTGGGATGTTGGATATTTTGTCCCAGCAATGAGAGAAAAGTAACCAAAACACTTGAGTTTATTTCTAGTTTCTCTCAAAGGAGACATTGTGTGGGCACGTCTTTCTCCTGAGGCATGGAAAATGTTACTGTTAGTAAAGCTCATACCCCCCCCCCCCGCCACTTAGTGTGGAATATAGGTCACTTTCTAGGCATACTATTTTTTGTTTAGGGTTCCTCCACCTCCACACCCAATACTAGGAATTGAACCCAGAGCTTTGCACATACTATTCTAACATTTTACCACTGAGTTACATTTCCAGCTTTGGCATGCTATTTGTGAAATGTTACTCTTTTGGCCAGAGCATCCTGAAAGAAAACTTGCTTTTGTTCCTACATGGCAGATTATTTAAGGAGTGTATCCACTTCAGTGATTCAGCCAAGAAATATGTCTGGACTACTCACAGTGTCCCATACCTATGCAAGGTGCTGAGGATGTGGCATCAATAATGAATTAAAAAAAAAAAAAGACAGCCTTCATTGCTCTCAGGGGACTTAAAACTAGCCACAAAGGCAGATACCCAAATAGATAATAAGCACATGAAGAATGCTAGACAGGATGTCTCAGATGCTCCAAAAATGGGCATTGTGGTTGACTTGCTGACTTTTTTCCACATTAGTTGGTGAGTTTAAACAGAGTTGCAAGTATTTCACTAAAGTTCCAGATATTAAATATCTTCAGCTTTGCAAACCATATGCTCTGGTTCAACTGCTCAATTGTGCAGTTGTAGCATGAAGAACAATCAGTGCACGTACGGACACGTGGCTCTGTCTCAATGAAATTTTACTCACAGCAATAGGCAGTAGGGTCATCGCATGCCAATGTCTGATTTCCAGCAGAAAATACTTCCAGCACACCAGAAATCGTCTTCCAACCTCTAAGGATACTGGTCAGACTTTAGGTAGTGGGAGACCCTGCACTGAGCAGCCTTATCCACTTACCCAAATGTGCTGCCTAATACTATACCACAATCTCTTGTTGAGTGGGAGTGGGACATACGGTGGTGTTATGGATTGTATATAGATGCCCCCCTAAAACTTCATCCAGCTTCTGGATGGGATCAGCATCTGGCTGGGATTAAGGGGGTATAATACTAAATTAGTTCACCAATAGATTGAAACCTCTGTAAGCTGTAAGCTGAAAGAAACTTTTTCTCCTTTAATCTTGAGTATCAGGTATTGTATCTCAGGCACAAGAAAAGAGAGCTGTCAAACACTGCCAATCAAGCTTGGTCAGCCACACTCCTCACCCTAGAACAGGATGAGAAGGGTTCAGGGAGCCTGTCAGTGCCTTTGAGACAGAAGAAAAGAGATGTTCCCAGCGGCTTCTGAAGCAGGGGTCCCATGCAGAGGAGCGGCACCAGAAGCCATCTCTCCCTCACCTGGCAGCCCTTCTGATTAAGTGGGGTGGTGAAAGTAAGCAGCAGAGGAGGGCAAAAGTGGGCACAGGAACCCGCCTTGGATCAGTCACCCCTGAAGCCTGCCATCCTTAGGACCGTCTAGCATTGCTGACATACAGTAATTCACTCCTTACTGGGTCGTGTTTGTGGTCTACTTTTCCCTTACAGCTAAAAGC